GTGTGCCAGGCTGTGTGCACTGGGCTTTCACAGGTGTTCCTTGATTTCATTCACACAACTCACAAGGTTGGGAGCAGCAAAAAAGCAAAGAAGGAAAGAAGGAAAGATACAGGGTTAAACCCATATTTGTTGATTCTGGGTCCATCTTAGGGTGACATATTAGGTGGATCTGGGAGAGAATCCCAGCTCCAGTGACCTGAGCGTGTGACTTTAGGTTACTTATTTAACCTCTCCGAGCTTCCTCTATTCCTTGTCTGTTAAATGCCATATGTTGGAAGTACAATACATTTGTAGTTATTTTCTCTCAATTAGACCAGGGGGTTCCTCCCTGGGATTATTTAATGTTGAATAAAATTGAAAGAGCACTGGGGTTGGTGTCAGAAAATTTGGATTCTAGCCCCGACTCTGTTCTTTCCTGCTGGGACTCATGAGGAAATTAACTTGTTTTTTTTCCCCAATAATTAGAAAAGTAATATAAATACATGGTAATCTAATTCATACTGCATTAAAGGTTATAAAGTGAAAAGTGGCCATTCTGGTCCTCAAAGCCAATGCCAATTATCAATTACTTCAATATCCTTCTAGAAGAATTTTTCTATTATGTATATATAACCACACAAGACACATACATACACCAACCCTCAAATGAGAGCAAATTTAAAATAAATCTTGGAGACAATATGTATTGGCCCATATAAACCTTGTTATTTTAATATAGCTGAACCCATATTGAAAGTCATTGAGGTAATTTCCAATCTTTTGTTAATACTAGCAAAAGCTAATATTTATCGATTGCTTATAATGTGCCAGGCCCTATTCTAAGTGCTTTATGTGTATTAACTCATTTAATACAATCATCCTGGGTAGTATTATCAGCCCCATTTTACATTTGAGGAGAACAATGCCTTGAGAACATCAGTACTTCCTCTACAAACAGTAAGTGGCAGAAATGAAATTCACACCTGGGTAGACTGGGCAAGGCTGTAACATACGTCTTTATCCACATAGTTTTGTGCACATTTGTCAGACAATCTGGCAAATGATGGCCCTGGAAAAAAGCAGCAATGCAATCAAACTGCATTTTTCAAAGGTCAATCTGATAGCAGGGTGGAGAATGCACCCATCTTACCATACCAGTCACAGACTGCTGTGCATTTTTCTCTTCTTCCCGGTCTCCTGTGTTGGATTAGGAGCTTCTTGAAGGCAGGGACTCTGTACCCAGGGGTGCAGCACAGAGCCAGCATATTGCCAACTCTTAATAACATTTGTGAATGGTCACTGAAAAATAGGGAAGACTTCAGGGGGAGTGGCCTTTAGAATTTGGGCTGGATTTTGAAGGATGAATAAAATTTTGGTAGGCAGAAAATGGAAGAAAAAGTACCTTGTGTGAAGAAAGAGCAAAGGAACAACTACCTAGGATGTTTGGTGGGCAGCAAATCATCCAGGCTGGTTGGGAACGGGCATGTGGCTGTGATGTGCTCACAGAGGATACTGGGAAGGATATTTGGAGGCAGAAAAAGAATTCTAATGCTATTCAGAGTCTGTGAGATCCTTTCCAGGCCACATTTATTCACCTGGAGGACAAAATGGATGATGTCTATGAATACACCACCATAGATCCATAATACTAGTGTTAAATAGCTAAATGTATTGGATCTCAGTTTACAAAATTGTGTTATCCCACATCAGGTTTCTTTCTTCCACTTTCCACTTCTCAGTGTCAAATGGATAGCAGGGTTGTCAGTATCCTGGTATCCCAGTAACCTGGGAAAACATCATCAAGGCAGTGGGCATATTTTCAGTTTTCATTTATTTTAATCCTCACCAACTCACTGAAATCACAGTCTGATTTATTTTTCCAAGCTCTGGGCCCCTGGGCCCGGGGTTTATAAATGTAGCTGATAGATGTACTATTCAAATTAATTTATATGCAAATACATCTCAGTGGATTTTGTTACATTTCTGTTGAATTTCATGAAGTTACTTAGACATCTGACAACACATATTATTTTATATATATGCTAACATTTTTCGACACTTGATTGTTGATCCTGGCTATGTATGTAATCAAATTCAAATTAGAAATTCATTCTAATGATGTACTATATGTTGGCTAATTGAATTCAAATTGAAAAAAAAAAATTAGTTCTGATAGCCACTCTGAACATACATCAGCATTGCCTAGTCAGAACATAACGTAGGACATAAAGATGAGCTACAAATATAATTTTAAGTATTCTGGTAGCCACATTGTTTTTAAAGATTTATTTGTTTTAGAGTGAGAGAGCACGAGCTGTGGGGGGGAGGGGGGCGGGAAGTGCAGAGGGAGAGGGAGTCTTAAGCAGACTCGGCGCTGAGCGTGGAGCCTGATCTCACAACCCTGAGATCTCTACCTGAGTCAAAACCAAGATCAGACACTTAACTGGACTCTGCCACCCAGACACCCCTCTGGTAGCCACATTTAAGGAAGTAGAAAGAGGGGTGCCTGGATGGCTCAGTCAGTAAAACACGCGACCCTTGGTCTCAGGATTGTGAGTTCAAGCCCCATTCTGGGTGTGGTGATTACCTAAAAATAAAATTTAAAAAGTAGAAAGAAACACCAAATTAATTTAAATAATACATTTCATTTAACCCACACTATCTAAAATATTATCACTTCAACATGTAATAAATATTAAAAAAATATGAGCTAGTCTACATTCACTCTTTCTGTAGTTAAGTCCAGAGTGTATTTTATACTTGCAATACATCTCACTTTGGACTAGCCACATTTCAAGTACAGACATCACATAAGGCCAGAGGCTATGATGTTGGATAGTGCAAAAATAGAAGCTATAGATTCTAGCTCCTTTGGATAACACTATTAGCTCAAAGAATGGTTAGAATGATTTATATCCTCCCTGCTCCTATCCAGTAGTAATACGTAAAGTTTCTCACGTAGGATTTTTTGGGAGAGACCTAAGAGATCATTGTGTCCCTGACTTTTGATTATGGGCAAGGGAGCAGAGACTCATGAAGGTGGGGGTGTGCTGGGGGAGGACTAGACCGTTGACTTGCTCTGTTCCACACCACCTCATTCAGCGTCCCTGCTGACAGGTGGAGATGGAGGCTCAGCTCCCTGCCCAGCACCTGCCAACAGAACCCTGCACGAGGACTGAGAGCATGAACTCCCTGCTTGGCCCCATGGACATCACTCTGTCAGTGGGGAAAGGGTTGGGGGATCTGCTGCCCTAGGGTAGATTAGCTCCCTGCACTGTCCTTGTGTCCAGCACCAGGAGGGGACATCAGGACACTACCATCTGCCTCTACAGGGCAGGGCATAGTGAGCTGGAAGACCAGCTCTCCCTGGGGGGAGGAAGAAGAGCAGGGGTTTGGCTGATGGCGTTTAATGTTTGGGTACATATTACCAAAAAGGTTTTCTATTATTAAACCATTCTTTTCCTGGTGCTTTGGCTAGGGACAATGTGCCCCTTTTTGGTGCTTTTGGTCTGTGCCTGTTGGCAGCTCTAACCTGGAGGCATGCTGCAATGTCTTGTCCTGGATGGATGGGAGACAATAAGAAAACTCAAATCACCATCATGTTGTTCCTCACATCCCCAGGTTCCTAGGCAGTTCACTTCTTTTCACCTTTAAGTATTTTCCTTTGCTCATTGTGTTATGTCCAGAATTATTTTAGTTGTAAGAAGTAGTACCTGGGAGGAAATAGGGGGGCTACTCTAGCTTTGCTGGAATCAGAAATCTCCTAACTGCTAAATGTGAGCAACACTTTCTAATCCTCATCTTATTCTATTTTTAAGAAATGTTTGCGATGATAGAGTACCTTACATGCTTTTCCTTGAAACTCATTTCTCCTTCAGCATGTACTACTGCACATTGTGAATTTCCTCATTTGGTCACTTCTAAGTGTCCTTTGTAGTTTCCTGTAGGTCAGTAGCTTTCTAACTTGCTTGTGTTCCTCAAGATTCTGCCCTAAACCAATTTTTTTAAAGATTTTTTTTTTCATTTATTTTACAGAGAGAGAGAGACAGCAAGAGCAGGAACACAAGCAGGGGGAGTGGGAAAGGGAGAAGCAGACTCCCCGCTGAGGAGGGAGCCCAATGTGGGACTCGATCCTAGGACCCTGGGATCATGACCTGAGCCGAAGGCAGATGCTTAACGACTGAGCCACCCAGGTGCCCCCAAATTTTTTTTAAAAAACACAAAGTTATTCAATATTTGTTCAATAATAAATATTTCATGGCAAAAAAAGTCACCAAATTAAGAACCTCCTTCCCCCAATTAAAAAAAAACTCAAAAAGATATGTATAGGTATGTATTCCCTTACTCAAAAAATTATGTTCAAATATAAAATTAATCTTTTAAAAAACTCCCTTAAGGAGGAATTTCTCAGATTTCACACTCCACCATTTCTCCCCCTACTTTCCATCCCCCTCCCCACTCCCCAGATCTAGCATTTCTTTTTCTTTTTCTTTTTTTTTTTAAGATTTTATTTATTTATTTGGCAGAGAGAGATACAGCGAGAGAGGGAACACAAGCAGGAGGAGTGGCAGAGGGAGAAGCAGGCTTCCCGCGGAGCTGGGAGCCCGATACGGGTCTTGTCCTGGGATCATGACCTGAGCCAAGGCAGACGCTTAACGACTGAGCCACCAAGGCGCCCAAGATCTAGCATTTCTTGAGAGAAGACTTTGAGGCAGCCGAAGGCTGAGGCTTGCTTTCCACCACCATCTCCAAGACAGCAGCACAAGGAGTATCCTCTTCAGAGATGCCTGGAGTTCTTTCGGATGTCAGCCCACGAATGGTTATGGATAGAGACCAGCTGTGCATCGCAGGGACCCCTAAACTGCACCCCTGCCCCCACTGGCTAATTTCAGGAGGGAATGAGTGTCCCTGTGTGAAGTTCTTATTAGAAACCTTACCCAGATGGGGCTGAAATTTTAATGCAATGCGTATTTTTGTTGTTGTCCAGTGAAAAAGAAATTATAAAGCTGATTGCATGCACGAAAAGCTTTATTGAGTCACAAAAACTACACAGAATACCCGAACATTTTTAAATGACTTCAGAAATAATCAGCACATATTTAGTAAGCAAGTTCCACTTTCCCTATTTTCTCTGCCCCCAGCCTCAATGCTCAGCTACAGATTATCCATTTATTTACCTTGCTTAACATATCTATCTAAAAGTCATCTGCCAGGTGTTGTTGCAAAAACACTTTTTTTTAACAATTAAATACACAATGGCGACTTTATAGGACTTGGAGTGTTTTAAAATGACACACGATAATTAGAGTTACAAGAAGAGCAGTGGCCTCTTTCAATTCATTTCAGCATTTCATTCTCTTTTTCAAGTATTAATCTCTAAAGTCTATACAAGTAGTCTCTAAATGCACAGCGCTCCTTTTTTCCCTGTCCTCCTCCTCCAGTGTTAGAGCTTTAGCAATCTGAATTCTCTTGGATGGGAAAAAGGAAAGCTATCAACTTACAAGGGTCATTTGCTGGCGTCTAGTTATTACCTAAACCGCGGCACAGAAGTCGTTCACGCACAGGTAACACGTTACACTGGGACCGCTCCCTGTTTTCTGCACACTGAGGGGGAAGGAGGTCAGGATCCTAAGACCCCGGGGCTCACATGATGATGCACTTGCTAAGCAGCTTCTCCGCGGTCTTGGGTATCTGGGATTTCTTCTGGGGATGGCGGAGGCAGGGGGCAGGCTTCTTCTCGTGGTTCGGCGCCGTGCGAAATAGCTCCTGCACACTGCTATCCATCTTAGCGGAGGTCTCCAAGAAGGCGCAATGCCACTCCAACGCGCAGGCGCATGTGGCGCGGTCACTTACCGGCGACTCCCAGTGGCTTTCTTGGCATTCGTTGCCCACCAGCACGATAGGGTACTTCTGCAAGGTGTTGCCTTTGACTTTGCGGATCAGCTCATAGAAAGGCTTCAGCTCCTCCAGGGTTTGCTTCTTGGCGCCTGAGTAAACCAGGATGAAAGCAGGGCCCCTGGCAATGGCGAGGCGCTGCAGACCCGGGTAGCGGTGGCTGCCCGTGCTGTCGGTGCTGCGCAGCGCCCCGACACCGTGCTTGGAGCTCAGCACCTGGCAGTCGGTATCTTCGATGGTTGGCAGGTACGCATCGCGGAAGTGGCCACGCACCCACTTCTGCACCCGCGCGCTCTTGCCCACGCCAGCGTCGCCAAGCACCACGACGTGGTAGTCTTTGCTCTTGCTCTGGGGCATGAGGGCAGGGACGATAAGCAGGGTGGGCAGAGGACGCAGCCGCTGAATCAGCCATTTCTTAAAGCCAAAGCAGTTATTGCCCATTGCAGGGAATTGGCGGGGAGACAGGCAGGCAGGTTATTGGCACGGACCCGGGAGCAAAAGATTCTTAGGGAGAAAGAACGGGAGAGTGAGATGGGAGTTCGAACTTGGAAGGTTGTCCCTGTGTCTCTTTGTCTAGCTGTTCCCTGGGGACACTCGGGAGGGTCTAGGCTCACTCCCCAAACCCACCTCCCTCCCTCCTCTGAAACAGAGCCAGGCTCAATGCCCATCCTAGGCGCCCATCAAAGGCGGTGTGAGCAGGGAGGAGCGGAGGCTCGCTCAGTCTTCCTACGATGCCTTACGTTTACTTCCCCAGTAGCCACACATCCATTTTCTTTCCACCGCACTACTCCAATCTCAATACAGAATGAGAAGCTGAAACAATGGACAGCCCGCCAACCTGAGACAGAGTAGAGACTGGGGTCGGGTCCCCTCAATCCTGAGGGAGAAGCCCAGCATTCCTTGATAGCTGAAACCTTATGCCCCTTGGGTGGAGAGAAGTCTAGCAGGAATGCGGAGGCAGGACGCTTACCCAAGAGAGGGCTGCGCTACCAAGACTGGGGAAGATCAAACCAGTCTGCGCCAAGGTGGACCCCATCGCTGTCTCTTCATTGACTTTTTTCCTTATTATGATACTAAAAATCATGCCCGGGGTGGAGATTTAACATGTTAATTAGACACGTGAGGCACGAAGAGGCAGAACCTTTAAGTGCACAGGTGCTAATAAATTCCTGCCTCTATGTGCTTGGAGTCACCCTTTTCCACCTAAGTTTCTTTAAAAAATTCTCCCTGACCTCTCCCCAGGGAGTCAGCCTGAGGATTCTCTTCTTTGTGCTGTCTCCCTTGTGCTGGAGCATAAGCCCCAGTCAAGCCTGGCCTCGAACTCCGCTGGCCTCTTGTCAATTGCTATTGCTTGGAGACCCCCAAGGACCCGGTTCAGTAATAATGGGGGTAAGGACAGAGTGTCCAGGGACCCCCGGGGGCCAGGATGCTCTGTTCTGTGCCCGTAGAGACCTATTACCTACAGCGACTGTCCCCGGGACATCGAGGGACGAGGGACGGATAGCCACTTCCCCAACACCTAGGCCTCCCAATCTCACCCACAGCAGCCCAAACTGGTTTACCCACCACGTCTCACTTTGGAGTGCCCCCCAATAAAGGCGGAAGACAGCTTTTACCTCTCTCCAAGGCAGGAACAAGTGCGCTAGTGGGCAAATTCTTTGCTCCCAGAGTCAGCATTAGCGATGGTCGCAACCGAGCGTGCAGGCGGGCAAATTCACTGCTTCTGGAGTCAGCATTGGTGGGGATGGGGGCAGTGGCAACAGTAGAGACCAATCACAGCCTTGGGAGCGCGGTCGGATGCAACCTGTGAGCCGAGAAGCTCGCGAGGAAGCTGGAACTGCGGGGCTGGGCTTGAAGCGCCAGAGGGCGCAGGCTGGGCGGCTCTACTCGCACCTTCTGCGGAGGAAGGACCAGTGGGGGGTGTGCCCAGTGTCCCCCATGTGAGAGGAGCTGTACCCACCGCCAGGGGGCGATGAGGGGGAGGTCCTGGGTTCACGGGCCCTGGCCATTCGGGTCGGGGTGGGTAGGCTTCCAGAATTTGCACTTGTGGTTCCGTGCAGGCCTCCTTCACCACTTCTATGCCCTTTCGCGGCTGTGGGGTTAGCCCTTTCCAAGCCTCGCTGCCTTCGCTTCACTGCAGAATGGCCAGTTAGAATCCTCCCCACCACCGGTGCCAAGCACTTCATGGCATCTGATCCACTTTGCTCAGGAAACATTTGTCCAGCACAAAACTCGGTTTTTGTCCCTCCAGAAAGTCTCAACTAACACATCTGTCGTAAGAGACTTCAGAATCTCCTCCTGGGAGGATTACCTGTGGTTTAGACAGGTTCTATGGAAGAAGGTTGAGGGATGGCCTCTAAACCCAGCAACCTTAAGCAGTGATCACATTCCTCACCACTGTTTGTACAGTCGGTTTCATTTGATCATCATCACAAAAACCTTGTAAGCAAATCAGAATAAGAATGTGGGCAGCCTCTAGAAGCAGAGAGCCAGCAAGAAAACCTGGACCTCAGGCCTACAACTGCTAGCAGCTGGATTTTACCAACAATCTCAATCAACTTGAAAGCACATTCTTCTCTAGAAACTGCACATAAGACCACAGACCGGTCAACAACTTGATTTCATCGATTAAGCAGAGACCATCCAGACTTCTGACCTATAAGATCGTGGGTTCTGTAGTTGAGCATTATTTTAAGCCAGGAAGTTTTTAGTCATTTGGTATGCAAAGAAATATGTAATTTGCTTACAAAGTTGTTTCTTGTTTGCCAAAGAAGGACTAATGTAGCAGGTGAAATTACTTGTTCAAGGTTACAGGGCTCATAAATGATGGACATAGGCCCAAACCGGCTTTTCCTAACTTCAAGTCTTTTTCTTTTTCTGGTGCTGTCATTGTAGGTCATTAATCTGATATGCTATTTCTTGTTCATTAGTAAAAAAATTTCCATAGCTTTTTTATTTTTACCCCAAAGCACATTCATGTTGGAGAGATTAAGGGCACATGCTTTACAGGCAGAAAATTTGGCTTAAAATGTTTGGTTTTTTTCTCTTCTTTTGAGTATACCTTATTATGCCTTTGAGCTATGAGATCTTGGAGAAATTACTTTTCTGTAAAATGGGAACTAATACCTATGAAAAAGAACTGTGGGGAGCATTCCAGGAGATACTACCGAAGACTGTCCACAAATCCACAGTTTTTGAGCATTTTAACAATGGCTTTTGGAAGTGTCATGATCTTTTTATTTAATCTTATCTAATCCTGGGATAGAGTCCCACACTGGGCTCCCTGCTTAGCGAGGAGCCTGCTTCTCCCACTCCCTCTGCTGCTCCCCCTGCTTGTGCTCTCTCAAATAAATAAATAAAATCTTTTAAAAAGAATAAAAAAGGGCTAAAGGAAGATATGATAATGGAGAATAATTTGAAATTTTAGAAAGGAAAGTAGAATCTTAGAATAGGTAAAAACTGGGGTAAATAGAATATCCTTGCCATGAGTTTTTACAATCATATTTGATGACTGAAACATCTGATATTCGAGGTAATAGTATTAAAAATTGGGGAAGACAAAGAGACCTAAACAGAAGTAAGGTTTCCATACTTCACTTGAAGTGGTAAAATGTTGATACCAGCAGATTGTGGTAAGTCACATATGTTTATTTTAATATCTAGAACAACAATTTTTATACAAAGGGATAAACTCAAATACCCGAAAAGTAAATTAAGATGGCATTCTGAAAAATGTAACCCACAGGAAGGTGAGGAAGGAGAAACAGGAAAACCAAAAAACAAACGCTAAAATGGCATACGTAAGCTCAAATGTATCAAGAATTACCTTCAATGTAATTGGTGTAAATACACCAATTAAAAAAGCAGATTGGCAGAGTGGATTAAAACAAGCAAACAAAAACAAACACAAGCCAATTACATGGTGATTGAAGTGAGAAGAAACTCACTTCACATTTAACGACACAGGGAGGTTGAAAGTAAAAGGATGGGGGCGCCTGGGTGGCTCAGTCAGTTAAGCCCCTGCCTTCAGCTCAGATCATGATCCCACAATGGCCTCCCTGCTCAGTGGGGAGCCTGCTTCTCCCTCTCCCTCTGCTGCTCCCCCTGCTTGTGCTTTCTCAAATAAATAAATAAAATCTTAAAAAAAAAAAAGAAAGTTAAAGGATGTTTTTGTATGGTAACACAGGTTATATGGAAACCAAAATTAAAAAGACAATATTATTTACAAATGCTACAAAGAAAATGAGTACTGTGTATACATTTAACAAAATACATGAAAAATCTGAATGCTGAAAATTACAAAATGCTAATAAAAGAAATAAAATTAAATAGAGACATAATATGTTCATGTATTAGAAGGTTCAACTTAGTAAAGATGTCAATTCCCTCCAAATTGACCTATAGGTTTAATGCAATTCTTGCCAAAATCCCACTAAGGTTTTTGTAGACATAGACAAACTTATTCTGAAATTTATATGGAAAAGCATAGTACCAAGGATAGTTAACACACTCTTGAAAAAGAGACATAAAGTAAGAAGAATCACTCTTTGATAGTAAGGGTTAAGATATAACTGCAGTAATTAAGACAGGGTAATACTGGCAGGGAGATAGACCTATAGATCAATGGAACAGAATAGAGAGCCCAGGAATAGGGACCCGCAGATATGCTCAGCTGATTTTTGACAAAGGCACAAAAGCAAGTCAACGCAGAAGGATAATCTTTTCAACAAATGGTGCTAGATCAGTTGGACATCCATAGACAAAAACACATAAGCAAACAAAAAAACTTGAACCTAAATCTCTCACCTTACAAAATTAATTTAAAATGGATAATGGAACTTATATATAACATGTAAAATTATAAAATTGTTAGGAAAAAAGACAAAATCTTTGGGATATATCTGATTGTGGTTACATATATACACATCTACATATATGATAAAATTTCATATAATTAAATACATACACAGATGAGTACAAGTAAAACAGGAAATCTGAGTAAGAGCAGTGGATTGTATTGATGTTAATATCCTGGTTGTAATATTGACTACGGTTTTGCAAGGTATTACCATTGAGGGAAACTGAGTAAAGTTACTCAGGATCTCTATTATTTCTTATAATTGCATGTGAATCTTCAATTAGCTCAAAGTAAAAACAAAACAAAACAAAACAAAAAACAACATTAATTTTAAGAAGTACTCGCAAAAAAAAAAAACAAAAATAACGCAACTCCCATGGCTCCCAATTAAAGCCCAAATTCTTTCTTTTCATATTCCCAGCTCCCTATAAACAGACCCCAAATTCCCATTCAGATCTTACCTTCCATGAGCCTTCTGTACACACTGGCTTAAAAATTCAATATTCTTGGAAGTTCCCTAGGTCTCTTAGCTCAAGCCCCAACCCAGTCCCCTCATCCACACACCCCAGTTCTACTCTTCTTCAAGGTTCACCTCCAAATGGTACTTCCAGCTGGAAGGAATCCCTCCCCCTGAGTTCCCAGGCACGTTTCACCTTGTATTAAAACTTTGTCAGTACTTGTTTTCTCTTTTCCACAAAGCAAGGAGCTTTTCTCTGACAGAGTGGAGATTCATTTAGCCTGATTCCCTCACAGGTGCTAGTCAGCGCCAGCAGGTAGTGCTCAGAGGCAAGCAGGATGGAACAGGTTAACGTAGATTCTGTTCAGAGGGGATGGAGCAGCCTAACTGCTCGCCAGTCCTGCTTTCAGGACCTCTTTACAGTTTAGCCTTTAACCTCAGGATCCTCAGTTGATAATAGGGGAAGTACATGGCAAGTGCTGCATGTTAACAAGTACCTTTGTCAGTACCTGGCACAGAGTACATACTCAGAGAATGTAGCTGGAGTTTGGAGACCTGGTCTCCAGTTCTTGTTTGCTCACATATTCGTTGTAGGGACTTAGACAATTTGTTTGCCTTTTACATCGTTTCTTCACCTGTAAAATGGGGCCTAAAGTAGCTTTGTTTGAAGTAAGATTAGTTGGCTCTCTTGTGTAAAAGTTAAGTGGGGTGTTGCTTCTAGAATGTGACTGAGCTAACGTTCATTTGAGTGTTCGCCATGAGATAAGGCATTACCCTAATAACTTCACATGTGTGAACTCATTTAGTTCTATGAGTCTATGAAGTGGAGACTATTTTATCTCCATCTTCCAAATGAGGAGATCAGGCATGGAGAGATGAACTAAGTGGTAGAGGCTGGGAAATCTGGCTCGCTTCAGGGCTTCTGCATTTTCCACCATGCTGCCTCTTTAGCAGAGACAGGTGGTGATGTTCGGGACCCTCACAATTGTAATTTTAGAAGTCTGTTTTCTTTCACTTTCTTTCTAGGCTCCTCCCCCGTTTAAGCTCTGTAGAAAACTAATGGCAGCTGTGTTTCCTATCCTTCACAAAGACATGGTATCTTTACAATTTTGATTTCCAGGCAAGGCTGCTTCCGAATCCCTTCTCTTATTCCATGCAAGCGTTTTCTCCCATTCCTACCACTTCTGTTCCCGGCCTGACTGCTTTCTCCTACCACCCTGTGGCTACAAATAGCCCCTTGTTCACAGAGATATCATCTCTTACCTCATAAAGAAATGAGGCCACCAGATAAAACTCCACCAGCCCCTGGTCCACACATATCCTGCGTGATATTCTCTTTTCTCCACCCAGGGTGAATGCTTTCATCTGAGCCCTGGAGTGATCCTCAACCTGTGGTCCTAGGATCAAGTGGATTAGAATCACCTGGGGCTCTTGTTAAAAATAACCAACCCAGGGGCGCCTGGGTGGCTCAGTTGGTTAAGCGACTGCCTTCAGCTCGGGTCATGATCCTGGAGTCCCTGGATCGAGTCCGGCATCGGGCTCCCTGTTCGGCGGGAAGTCTGCTTCTCCCTCTGACCCTCCCCCCTCTCATGTGCTCTCTCTCATTCTCTCTCTCAAATAAATAAATAAAATCTTTTAAAAAAAATAACCAACCCACATCTACAGAATCAGAATCTATAGGTGAGACCTGGGATGGGGGGTAGTTTGCATTTTGACAGGCCCCCCTCAGATAATTCTGATACAGACAAATCTTAAAACTACTCCTTTAGAAGCTTACTTGATCATTGTATTCCTTTATTAACCTTTCAATGTTCATTGTATCAGTAGTCACGATCCTTATTTCATTTCTGATATCAATAATTTGTCTTCTCTCTTTTTTGTCTTGGTTAGCTAGGTGAGTGGTTTATTAATTTTATCAATCTTTTCAAAGAACCAACTTTTTGTTTCATTGATTTTTTGTATGTTTTCCAGTTAATTTTGTTGTTTTCTGATCTAATTTTTTAAATTTCTTTTATTCTGCTTGATTTAGTTGTAAATTGCTCTTCTTTTTCTAGTTTTCTAAAGTGAAAGCTTAAATTATTGCTTTTAGATTTTTCTTCTTCTCTAATATGGGCATTTCAGTCTATAAATTTCCCCTGTGAGCATTGCTTTCTCTACATCCAATAAAAAGTGTGTTGTTAAATCTCCAAATATTTGGGAGGGTTTTTTAAAATCTATTATTCTGCTATTGATTTCTAGTTTAATTCCACTGTGGTCTGAGAACATACTTTGTATGAGTTCTAGTCTTTTACATCTGTTCAAGTCTGTTTTATGGCCCCAAATGTGATTGTGTAGGTAAATGTTCCACATGAGTTTGAAAAAAGAAATGTGTATGCTGCTGTTGTTGGATGAAGTATTTCATAAATGTCAATTAGATCTAGTTGATTAATGGTGCTATTTAGTTCAACTGTTTTCCTACTCATTTTCTGCCTGCTGGATCTATCCATTACTGAAGGGGTATTTAAGTTTCCAACTATAACAATGGGTTTGTCTATTTCTACTTGCAATTCGTTTAGTTTTTGTCTCACATCTTTTGATATTCTGCTATTAGATACTTACATGTTGAAGATTGCTATATTTTCTTGGAGAATTGACTTCTTTATCATTATGTAATTTCCCTCTTTACCCCTGATAATTTCACTGTTCTAAAGTCTAATTTGTCTGAAATTAATATAGCTATCCCAGCTTTCTCTTGATTCATGCTATTATAGTATATCTTGTTCCATCCCCTTACTTTTAACCTGTTTCTTTATATTTAAAATTTAAAATTAAAATTTCTTGTAAAAATATATATAGTTTGGTCTTTTTCTTATCTACTCTGACAGTCTTTGTCTTTTAGTTAATGTATTTAGATCATTCATATTTAACGTGATTATTGATTTTTTTTGGTTTAATATCTACTGTTTGTAACTGTTTTCTATTCATTGTATTTGTTCTGTGTTTATTTTTCCCTTTTCTGCCTTTTCTAGTTTTAGCTGAGCATTTTATATAATGCCATTTTCTCTCCTCTCTAAGCATATGAATTTACAATATATACATTTTTAAGAAATTTAAGTCCACTTTCAAATAACATTGTACCATTTCACATGCAATGCAGGTACCTTATAACACAGTATCCCCAATTCATAACTTCCATCCCTTATACCATTAATGTCATTCATTTCACTCACCCA